ATTTATTTCAATTTACTTTTTTTAACGAAAAAGGGTGCGCTTAGCAGTGTCTACGTGTCTATTTTCATTCTTTGCATGACCATGAAGCGACCGCTTTAAGTGAAGTCAAAAAATAATTTCTAGTGCGGTATTTAGGTTGCACAGTGTTTAGAAGCCTTAAGCTGTTGACGTTGGCATTAAATGTTAAGTTATTTTTTGGGAAACTGCCAACGTGGGCCGTAAACTGAACAGCATCTTGGGATAAAAGGTTCCGGCGCGCCTGCCGCCTAAACCTTTTTCATGTCTTACGTACTATATATAGTTTGGATACGCATGCGATTGGTACCCCAATATGAAAATTTTAACACTTAACGTTTCATCGTTTAAGGTCCTCTTGGATCTAATAAATGCGCTCGCAAATTCCACATGCTTTGCGCAGCTGAATGAAATACCTACTACGTACTCAACTTAGAAATATATTAACTAACGCCAACTATTTCGCCTGTCTAACAGTTTCTTTAGTTCTTTAGTTATAGGCGAGCGTTCTGATATTGGAGCTCTGCGGTACCGACATGCGATTTCCACAAATTTTGCTTTCATCCAACCCAAGCCATCAATGGATCTGGGCATTAAGTCACAAAGTTGAGAGAAAAAATCCTCAAACTGTGCTTCAACGTCTACAGGATTAATTTGTTAGTTCGGGAAACAGAAATCAAGTCCTAATAAAAGAGCATCTGTTTGCAATTTGGTGAGTTTAATGTCCGAACCATTCAGGATATATTAGTCTGGATTAAAGTGGAAGATATTCCCAGTAGGCTTATTACAGATTGACTTGAGTAATTTGCAGGTTAAAGTTTCTTTGGTCTTGCTTTGCATGAAACATGCATGTTTGATAAGTATTCACCAGCAATAGAAACCCATAGTGTCCAGAATGTGAATAGTATGACGCAAGAAAGATTTGTTCTGATCCACCAACTGAACAGAATCCTCTATTTTTGATTGTCTGAGGTGGTCAAGGTTTATAAAAGTTCGGCGTAAAAATTGGCCGACCAACTTTTAATAATCTTGACTGCCTCACACAATCAAAATAGAAGATTCTATTCGTATTCTTTTTTATTAGGACTTGATTTCTGTTTGCCTAACGAACAAAGTAATCCTGTAGACGTTGAAGCACAATTCGAGGATCTGCACTGTCAACTTTCTGAATTAAAACCCAGATCCACTGATGACCTGGGTTGGATGAAAGCAAAATTGGTGGACGTCGCATATTTATACCAAAGAGCTCCAGTTCGTCTAGTATTTTATGTGTGTTACTCCATCAAATCTATGGTAAGAACGATCTTATAAACTAGTTATATTTTACGCCGTATCAGAGTAATGCATAAGTCGCCAGTTTGTCAGTTTAACACAAAAAAGGTCTAAAAGAGGCTGTTCTTAGATCTTCAGGCAGGTATTCCATATGGCCCCCATAGATGGCGAACCGCAACATCCTGAATGGCTTTGCGCTGAATTCCAAGAACCTCAGACTTAGTGTTAAATAAAGGGCTGACTTAAGCGTTCCGTTTTGTGTTTGCGCAAATATAAATTTTGAAGTAAGTACCATGAAATGATCCACTGAAATATTTTGAAATTTAGCTTAAATTTACCTGTATTACCTGCGATACATCCCATTCCCTTGTGTTGCTCGACTGAGGCACCTGCGATCGACCTTTTAAGTATAACCTTACCGCCTTAAAGAAGAAGGTAGACCAGAAAGATAACTAAGGTCCTGCTTTATTATACAGGACGAGAACACTTATACATAAATTAATATATAGAAGTTGGGTTCTTTCAGAATAGTAACATCAAAGGCTTTCCCCTTTTCTGAACTACCTTACCAGACAAAGGGTCTTTAGATTATTAATTTTTCCCGCCTCAACTGCCAGCCTGGAATCATCCCCACAGATTCCTTCATTAAAGGTAGCTGAGCATTTAATGGCAGAATACCAGCCGGAAATTGAGAGCTCTATATTCCCCCACCCCCCGCCCAAAACAGCCGTTTGC